TCCTCCCTCTCGAGCTCCTGACCAGGTCCCTTCAGAGTCTCCATGTGCCTGGCAATGGGCGTCCTCTGTTCTCTGTCGCCTTAACCTTCTTTACTCTCTCTGTGCGATGGAAACGTATCCACAAGGACAGACCAGTGCTGCCCACTTGCGAAACATCCTGGTGCCTGTTGTGGTCGTGCTGCTGATCCTCGGAGCTGGACTGTACCTTTGGAAGAAACATGGGAATAAGAAGACCATGGAGCCTGGGAGAGGCAGGTTACACTTCTCCTTCTTGTGGCCAAGTCTTCCTTCCCCTACTATACCCTGGATTCTCTTTCCTCCTGCATTTTGCTGCTCAGGGATTGTCCCTGCAGGAGGCTAGCAGGTGTGGCCATGGTCATGGGGGTCATGGAGGGGGAGGGGACAGGTTCCAGGCTGAGACTCAAGCTCCATCTGTGTGTGACTCAGGGACAGGATCACAGGAGGAGACCAGGGACCCAGATGGTGGCATCCACTATGCAGAGCTGAGCCAGCAGGAGTCTGGAGACCACAGGGACAAGGTGAAGCTGGGAGAAGAGGCAGCCTGGGTTCTCCCAAGTCCCTCTGTGCCTGCATGTGTGCCTTCGATCCCAGTCATCTGCTGGCTTTTGTCTCCATGCCTCTGTAACCCTTTCCAGACAACACAGTATTAACTTAAGAACATTCTCCTGGGGTCCACGCAGTGCTGGGTGCTGGGCAGGGGGGGTCATGTAAGTAGCACTGGATCTCCATGGGTCCCTCTGCATCCCTCAGCTGTTCCTGGAACCCTCTGTCTGCATTGCAGGGTAGGGGAGAACCACATCTAGAAGAGGAGAACTCTCTCACTACTGTCTACAGTGAGGTCCGCAGGCCAGGTCAGGACATGACCATGATTTAATGGGAAGAAGCAGGAGACTCCCACCCTGGGGACCCCTGTCTCGTGAGTATGATGCCCGCAGCTCTGGTCCTGCCTCTTCCACCTCCGATGGCTCTGAGCAGCACTGGAAGGATCCAGCAGTTCTTTCTGTGCTAAATCCTTGTGCACAAGCTCCCGGTGAGACACACACAGTGGTAGCTCAGCGGAAACTGAGTAAATAAATTGGTCCAAACCTGTTCCAGGACCACTCAGCCTCTGCTACATGCAACCCTAGTCAGCCCCCCTGTCCCCCTCATCTGTACGACATCAAACTGGCTTTCAGACCCTCAGCCTCTGGGACAAATCATGGAGCATTCACAGCATCCCACCTGGACCCGTCTTGAGCACCCCCAGCCGTCAGTCCTGCACAGAGAGGTCTTTATAGACAATGTGAATTCGTAATTGTCTGCGCTTGCTGGGGACTGGCTCTGTGACACAATGTGCTCATTTTGTTTGTGGGGAATATGGGAGAAGTTCTCTTGAGCCCTAGAAAAACACTGTAAGATCCCCTCTTGGTAAAGGACACACTTTCTCTCCTCCCACGCTCTACCGTCATTCCCCCAAGTGACAAAACTGCCTGCTGTTGGCCCGAATTAGTAATTCAAGCAGTGAAAAGTGGGTCTCAAATGCCCCTTCCTCTCCATCTCACAGTTGAGCCTGGAGATCCACTGGAAGCAGGTAGATCCCCTCAGATCAGAGGAAAGTAGAGAAGCTTCTCATCCCGAAAACCTCAGTGTCTGCACAGGAGCGTGCACACACACACACACACACACACACACAGACACACACACACCAGCCTCCAGCCGTGCAGCTGTCTGGTCAGAACTAGGGCTGTCCCACAAACACGCAGATCACAGTAGAAAGGAGGACTCGAAGTGTCAGAGAACATTGTCCCATCTGGGTAGCTGGCAGAGCAGGGCTGTGTCCCTGAATCGTGTGGTCCGTTTCTGAATTCAGCTCTGTTCCCTTCGGGGTCCCTACAGCTCACTTGCTGGTGGACGGGGAGCAGGGAGAAACCACGTCCCGTCCCGGGCCCTGGGAAGCAGGAACTCCAGCAGGTGGTGAGGTTGTCATTAGCCACACAGCGCACGGTGGGGGACAGACGATTGACATGATTCCTATCCTCAGTGCAGTCTGGACAGTGAGGGGTGAGGACTGGAGGTGAGTGCACGAGGCCACGGTACCCCCCACAGAGCCACATGGGGCTCCCTGCCCCCCGCACCCCGTCCCACCCTCTCACCATTCCATGCACCTGGACTGGATGACTGTCCGTGTCTGCAGAGCACTCGGGAGCCTGCGTGCGCTCCCGGGACCAGGAGCACCGACTTCTAAATCTGTGTTCAAACCCTGACGAGTGTCTGACGGGTCCCTGCCTTCCCTGTGGCCTTGTACCCTGCAGTCTTGGGGAACTCTCCTATTAGTCTTGGGAATTTTCTGTAGAAACTCTGGGATTTTCTGTCAGACACACATATAAACAATGTCCATAATAAACACAGGTTTGCTCTTTCCCCTTTCCAATCTGTATATTATTTTATTTCCTTTTCTTGTCTTACTACACTGATCAGACTTCCAGGGGATACTGCATAGCCGTGCTGAGAACAGTCAGCCTTGCCTCCTTCCCAGTATTCAGGGAAAAGCTAGTTTTCCACCACTAAGGATGATACTAAGTGCAGGGTTTTTTGTAAATATGTTTTATTAGATTCATCAGTTTCATTTTCTCTGCTCTTTCTTATTTTCTTTTTTCAAATTACGCTGGGTTTATTTTGCTCTTGTATTTCTAGATATAAAAGGTAAATGCTTTAATTATTAATTTGAGCATTTCTTCTCCTGTAATATCTGCCTTTCATAATATCTATTTCCCTGTAGGCACTGGGTTAGCTTCTTGTCACACACTTTCATATCTTGTATTTTTCATTTCCATTCACTTTAAATATTTAAAAATTTCTCTCAAGACTTCTTCTTTGACCTGTGGGTTATTTAGAAATCTTTCTTAATTTCTTTTTTTTCTTTCTTAATTTCTAAGTGGAAATTTTTCTGTAGTTTAGGATATTAAATTTGACTCTAATTCTGTTGTGGTCAAAGAAATACGTTATTTCAAATCCTTAAACACCGTCAGGTTAGTGTTATGACCCAGGACAGGACGTTGCCTGGGGAGGCTCCCGAGTGCACTTGAAAGGAATGTGAGGTCTGCTGGCAGGATTGAACGTTCTCTAAATGTCAGTGAGTTCGCATGTGCTCAGGCTCGTGTTCACTGGCTGTCTTCTTGCTGATTTTCCAAGCGGAGAGCGGGTGCTCGGCTCTCTGACCGTGACAGCGGACTCACGTGCTTCTCCTTTCAGTTCTGTCAGTTTCTGCGTCGTGGGTCCAGTGCTCTGCTGTTAGGAGCACACACACACCTGGGGTTCTCCTCACTTCCTGCTGACTTGGCCTTCCATTATTCTGCACTACTCTTCACCCTGGAAATAATCCTTGCTCTGACGTCTACTCTCTCTGACGTTAACTGGCCCATCGAGGTGTCTTTGGATTAGTGTTCGTGTGTCGTCATCATTCATCTCATGTGTCAAAGTGGCTGGGCCCCAGTGCCAAGACTTGGGGTCAAGTATGATTCTGGACTTTTCTAGGAGGAGATTTGGGAGGAGATACACTTAAATGGCTGAACTTTGAGTAGAGCAGACTGCCCTCCACACTGCGGGTGGGCCTCACCCCATCAGTTGAAGGCTGAGCGAGAGCAAAGACTGACCTCCCCTCAGCAAGGGAGAATTCTACAGCACACGGCCATCAGACTGGAACTGCGGTATTGGCTCTTCCTTGTGTCTCCTCCTGATGACCTTGGACTTGAACCCCAGCAGCAGATCTTCCCTGCATCTCAGCCTGGCTCACTCTCCCTGCAGACCTGACTCACCAGCCTCTATAATAGTGTGAGCCATTCCTTACAGCACATCTCTCTGGATCTATAAGCGTCCTATACTGGTGGTTCCTGCAGAATCCTGACTACTACCCACAGCACATCTTTTCCTATCTCCTTCCTGCTAACCCAGCTCTATCAGCGCAGACTGGGAACATTGATTCCAGAGTGACCTGGGCCCTTCAGTCCTGTGTCCAGTCTCCTGTGTGAGCAGCACCCATCTGAGTGCTCCTTGACCTTCCTCTGCCTATTCCTGTTCCTACCCCA